CATTCACACACTGATGATGGCAAACTACACTGTAGCCACAGCTGCCCTGGGGCACACTGACAGAGGTGGGGCTGCCATGCACCGGCGCCCACCGGACCCTCTGACCACCATCAGTAGGCAAGGTGGGTGAAGTGTCTTGCCCAAGGACACAACGACTGAGACGGCTGGACGGGGGATCAAACCAGCGACCTTCCGGTTCCAGGACGTCTCCCCTAACCACTCCGCCACAGCCACCCCTAATATACTGTATGTTGCCACTACAACATGTTGCACAAAGCTAAATATGCAAAATCAACTTTTCTGAGTTTTATATCATGTTATAATGTCATTCCATCATCAAAAACCTACCCAGAGTGTTGTTTTAACAAAACCCTGCATGTTTGAGAAATCCTCCTGTGGTAGACCTGTGGAGCTGCCTGCTCGTACAAAGCACCGCCTATTTGTACAAAGCTCCTCCCTGGAGCTCAGTCTGCAGCCGAGCTCCTGTCCCACAGAGCACCCCCTCCCCTGAAGCAGTGTGAAAACGTACTGAAGTGGGAATGTGGGAAACGATTACCGGTAGATGTCCTTAAAGAAACAGAGGCCAATTTCAAGGCGTTCAAGTCAGATTTAGTTTTGATATATAAAGCTTTTTCATAACAACTGAAAGTAACATAGTTACTTGATTGTGTTATAGAATTAGACTATGTGCCTGGAAGATACACAATATCACCCCAACATACACAAACACACACAAATGTCACCCATTCCTGATCCTTTTTAGCATTTTAAATGAAAGAGCATTTAAATTTGATAAGCACCTTGTTTTGACGTGCACATTAATGCCGTTATATCTATGTTGCAATAACATTTGACAAACATCTGAGTGGTAACTGTGGTTTGGCAAATGTTTGCTGAATAATATCCAAGTTGTTTTTAAGTAATGCATCAGAAAGAAGTTAAACCAGATAAACACTCCCACTGGAAGACCATTCTCAAACATGCAGATGCAAGAGATTTATGCTTTTAACCAGCAACTGTTTTACATTTGTTGAAAAGAAGTAAAGAGCAACACATTTAATTAATACGTATACAGAATCTTTCCCATATGCATCATAGCATGTTTTAAAATGCAGCCCTATAAAACTTTTTTGCTTTACAAATATGGAAGCAAATGGGCAACTTTCCACRTCATAAACCATTTTAAACGTATCTCTCTGTGAACTGACACTTGTGGCAATAAAGGTAAAAGTCTTCTCTTGGTTATGAAAAAGCATTTAGTGTGAAACACTAGTTTTACCAAAATTTCACACAAGAATTCAGGCTTTCACACCCAAACAACAGTAGTCTTTGTTAAAAATAGTGTGGAACAAAGCGGAAAATTGGTTTTTATTTGCCTGGAGATTTAATAATAAAAGGATGTTTTTCGTTATTTTTGTCCGAGTTGTTTTGTTTTTATGAATAAGGGCTGGATTTAGATGTTCAAGGGTCATTTCTGGCCTTAAGGCCCTATTTTCTGTGTTTTAAAACACTATATTTAACTTTACCACCTGAGAGCTTCCTGGCTAGATGTTATTTTTATAAATTAAGTAAGACTGTGAAATAAGACTGTGATAGTATTTCAAACCAACCCTCTTCATAAATCATTTTAAATGCATCTCACTGTGAACTACAACAAAACAATACAACTTAAATATTATTCCTTAATTTTATAAATCACCAATTAAATTTTAGAATGTATAAATTTCAAATTACATGTTTAAGATTTTTTAATTTTCAAAACAARCAGGTTTTGTTGTACACTACCATGAGATATTAATGCAGCTAATTAGCCCTTTTAGTTAAAATGCACTCTTGATTGAATAAATATTGTGCCAAAGTGCTTGCCATATTAGTTGCGCATGCGCATTTACTCTCGAAGCCTTAGAGCGCTTTTTAAACTTAGTTTGGAGAATCATAATAATCATATGAACACTGATGAGCTGTTTGTTGGGAACTTAATTATTACATTTTACATTTAAGCAATCAATTTGAGTCAAACCAGTCGGCATAATGAAGTAAACCTGATGTTTCATAGCCTACAGCCTTTTTAAATTGAATTACTACAGTAAAAATATTGAAACATTACATTTTTAGTTTACAATAAGTAATAATTAAAAAAAAATTGGGTTAACTTAGGGCAGTTTTTGGTTGGTAGGATTTTTATGGACTAAAAGGGACAATTGTGATTATCTTTTATTTATTTATTTTTACTCATGAGTCAATGTGCTATTTTTAAAGATCACACAGAGCGGCAGGAAACAGATAAAAAGCGGATGAATCAGTATAGATCCGGTGTTGTTCGCCTATGAGGCAAATTTAAAATATAGTCTGTGGAGCTTCAGACCGGATGACAGCAAAACAAACAAACAAACAAACAAAAACAGGTCGCGCTGCTTTAGTTTGAGCTCTGCGCCTTTAAAAACAAGCGGTTCTCTGTTTTCAGTCCCAACTGTGGACCCGGCGGCCACGTATGGCTCCAAGTCGCTCCCACGGTTAGCTAACAAGTTTTATCTCTTTCATTCAGCTTAATTAAAGTACTTTAAAAAACTGTTAGGGGAGGAAAGAAGAAAGTTTTTTTGTGTGCTGATTTCCCGCTGGGACGGTCGAACAGGAGGGAGGGATCTGTTATAATCAGCCCAGACGCTGCTGCTGCTGCTGCCTTTTCTCCGGGCTGAACTGAACCGAGCCGGACGAAGCGCTTCACCGGGAAAAAGTTTTCAAATCTCCGCCGCGGAGGGATACAAGGACGACAGGAAAAGTTTCTGCTTTATTTGGACTATTTTTTCACTATAGCATTACTTTAAGCTGTTTTTTTTTTTTTTAATTCTGGAAGTCATTTTTTCCACTTGTAATATAGAGACGCTAAGTTTTTTTTCTCCCTCACAGAAAATGGATAAATACGAGGATTTAGGTTTGGAAGCGAGTAAGTTCATCGAGGACTTGAATATGTATGAAGCATCCAGAGATGGCTTGTTTCGAACGAGGAGGGATGCGGGAAACAACCCCGACTTTGAAGAAACGAGAAGAGTTTTTGCCTCTAAAATGACTAAAATACACATGCAGAAGCAGCAAGAGGAAATGGCCACGAGCAGCCAGCTCGTGAAGATGAATGGGGGTCCCAGCAGCGCGCATCACATCAAAGACAGGCCGCCCATCAACAGCTCCAGACAGCCGGGTGAGGCGGCGGCGAAGCCCCCGATCCTCTCTGGCCCCGCGCCCGGGAGTCAGCTCGACGGCCAGAAGCACCAGACTGCCTTCCAGCCTGAGCTCCCGGCCAGCAGGGTGCACCACTACGGAAACAATTACGATAATAAGGAGCTGGAGATGCATTCATACCCCAACCCTTGTGGAAACCCCGCCAGGCACCCTGCGAGCCCACCAGCTGCTTGGACCCCCYCCAAAGAGAGCACGACGGCCCCAGTTCTGGTGGTGTCAGGGAGCAGTGCGTGTCAGAGGCAGCCTCAGCTCGCCCAGGCACCCTCCACCATCAGCAACAGCCAGGGTCCGGCCAGAGTCTGGCCTGCAGAGCCATCTGACCCAACACAACCAGACAAGACCAGACCCGCCTTGCCTCTGAGTGCTTTCACAGGAGGACCTGGCTTCCATACGCAGCCCGAGGCCCAATCTGTACCTCCAACCAGCCATAACGGTCCAGTTTTAGGTCCTGAGTCCTGTGACACACCCCAATCAAACGTCCAGGTGACTCATTCTGCTGCCCTGCATCCAAGCAGTGTCTCCAAAAACCTGAGTCCGGGTCAAAGCCCGGTACCTGCCACGGGACAGTTCTTCAGCGGTGAGGCAGAAGGCCTGCGCTCCCCTAAGAACATCCAAACACCCCCCCAGTCTCTGCTCACACAGCCTACCGAACAGGGGCCCTCAGTGGCAGAAATAAAACTAGAGGCCCTCACCAAGCAGCTGGAGAAAGAGATGGATGCCCAAAAAAAGACGGACTACTTTGGTAAGACTTTCCTCATTCCCCCCCATCAACGATGGAGGGGTCCTGTCAGTCAGAGAGCATGCTGAGCGACAGAACCACCCACCCAAAGCTGGGAGCATAAACCCACTTGCTTTAGATTTCATGTTATTCCACATATTCCACAAACACACACTGCCAGCCTTTGTCGTTTTTCTGGGTTTACATCACACACACACACACACACACACACACACATGCATATCTTGTGTGTTTTCCCCGTGGTTTGAACTGGAGTGTGTCCCAGATGTTTTATGCCTTTGATAGCCTTCATGGTCTTTACTGATAAAACAGTTGAACATATCAGGCCTGCAGCATGTGAGGTCCCTCTTAAATGGAGTCATTTTCTTTAATTTGCCTTTTTTTTTGTCTGCCCACAACAAAGCTTTTGGCAGTAAAAAGACTCCAGAATCAGAGGGGAAAATGTCCACTTGTTTTTTTTAAATGATCTAAATTTACGACAGCTAGTTAAAGGAATAGTTCCAATAGTTTTGATATTTTACTCTCAGACGTTTTCATAGAGATTCATGCAGACGTTTTGTTTTATACACTTTTTTTGCTTTTCTCTTATTCCAGCGAAGATTTGATGAGTTTGATTATTATTCGGCGACTGCTGAAGGCGAAACGGTGATGTTTTTGCTCTAAAGCAAAAATATCTGACGAACCACCCGCGTAGATTTTAGAGTAACACTCAGAAAGCCATTGGTAGATGTTCATCTTTAGCTAAATACGCAAAACTGGCGAAGTCTGTCACTTTAACAAACATTGAACTTTGCTGTGGAAGTAGCTAATATACCTTGATCACTGACAGATGACGTGAAATCTTGTGATTCTGTATGAGCTCACACATTACGTTAATTTAAAGGCTTGAACAAAACGGCTGCACCTTTGTCACTTCTTAACCTGAGATTGTTACAGTTAGAGACTCTGGCATGCAGATAAACAGATGTTCATAAAAGCTAAAATAWATGACAACAGAATGAATCTCATAMATGTTTTARTMAAACARATGTTTTAGACACTTTGATCCATTRTGGTCTTGGACCTGCAGACTAGTCTAGTCAGGATTAAACTCTTGTTTCTCCAGATTRGTTATTTCAAACAGCTGTCTACGACAGGTAAGATGYTWATTACTTATAACCTTTCAATAGAACCCCTCTGCTAAAGATTCCAACTCTTACTTTAACGCTGCCCAGCTCTGACCAGGAGAATCGAGCTCTTAAGTTTCTGACTGGCCTCCGCTATTTCCTAATGAAATCAGTGRCTTGTGTGCTTGCACATTCCTAATTTCCCTTAATCTGATTTTGTGGGTGGGGTTAAGCACAACAACACCTGTGACTGGTGCTGCTGGCATTTGGGGGCGAACGTGGAACAATCTCTGCCAGCAGATGTGGGCAGGGGTGGAGAGGGAGAGGAATGTCCATCATCAGCAGAACCCTGTGGTCTCTGTTTCCTAAATCAGTGCTTTGAGCTCTKTAGCTGCTCCGTCTGGACTGGTGAAAACGTATACTTCTCCTCCAGATCAGTTCAAAGGCTGCTGTCGCGCACACAGAAACAAAATGCGCCAAACACGGGACTCCTGTTTAAAGTTTTTGTCTTTGTCAGGTCTTTGAAGATACTTTTCTTTTCTAGTTTTCTTTCTCAAAGCGGGACTAAYGAGGGAAACACTCTGAGAAGACTGATGTCTAAGAAGCCACAAAAAAGCCTCCCTCCTGTGTACATGCACRTCACTCACCCTCATCTCCTCACAGGAGGAATTTCCTGTTGAAATGTCATCTTTGCGATTCACAGCCACCCTCACCCGCCCCATCCCCACCATATATATGCATCTTCTCAACAGGATTATTGCAGATGTGTACAGTGCTGGCTCTAGCCATTTTGGTGCCCTAGGCGAGTTGAAGCGCACACACCCCCCCAAACTATGTCCCACCCACCCCAATTTGAACCCCCTAAAAACAAGTTTGACAGTGTAAGGTACTATGGCAGTGGTTCCCAAACTTTTTATATTCTGACCCATAAAATATCCATGGCAAAAACTTGACCCCAAATATTACTGGTCTGAGTACACAAACACTGTTAATAATCCTAAAAACACAGGCTTTTTGACAATCTAAACAGCTTATACACAAATATAAATACTTATTTATACTTATTTAGTGTTTTTGTAATAATTATAGGGAAAATATTACATCAGCAATTATTTTATTACCCTTTAAATTGATTTCTGGAGATTATCCAASGTGCTTCATGACCCATAATTGGGTCCYAAGTCCAACCTTGGGAACCAAAGTGCAGTGGTTCCCAAACTTTTCAGCTTTTGACCCAAAATAACAGTAGCAGAGACCTGTGCCCCCAACTATTTTTGGATGATAAACATTTGTATCAGGCCAACAAAACATGGGCATAGTAACAATTTTTTATACTAAATTTATCCATTTAAAATATACTAACCTCACTCCTTTGTAACAACTAAGGCAAAAATGTCATTAATTCAGAAAATCTTTTCAGGACCCCACCTTGATATTTCGGGACCCCACTTTGGGTCCCGACCCCAACTTTGGGAAACACTGTACTATGGTAAACTTAGATTTATTTGCTTTCCCAGAAAGCAAATAAAAAGCAACATACTGTACATGTCAACTTGTACAGATTGTCCGTAAGTTATAAGTATTTTACGTCATTTTGCAGGTATACGGACGAATAGGGCAATCTCACGCATTTTTTCCAAGTCTTACGGATTTTCTCAAAACCTCATTTTCAAATTTATCTAACATGTCAGAGCCTGTAGGATGATTAAAAAAAACAATAAATAACATTAAATAGCCATCTTCCAACCTGTTCAATAAGTTTTTTTTAGCTTTTTCCGCTGAGTTTGTCAACACAACCGCTAGCTGAGAGGCACTACTAGCCCCTCCCCCGTCAGAGTGTCAGAGCAGGACGAGTCAGTGCAACGTCAATCTAATGAGAGAGAGGGTATGGGGGTGATTGCTGCATTGAGGGGGAGAAAATGTTTTATGGTTAGAGTAGTTTATTTTTCCTGTAATACTTCATTATAGTTTTTTTTAAGACAAAGCTAATTGAAAGGGGCACCGAGCAGAGTTACAACCAGGGATTACAAATAATTACTTTTTCTTCTGCAGTTTGGCGCCCTGTCCAGGAGATGGCGCTCTAGGCGACCGCCTAGTTCGCCTATGCCAAGAGCTGGCTCTGGATGTGTRTGAGAGTAACCATCAGAAATGTAGATGTTTCTAAATATTTAGATAATTTCTTATGCTTATGTGGCCTTCGCATATGGACGTTCTCACTGGGAGATTCCCACCGGATCATGGCTCATTCTGAGTCATGCTTTTATACGAGGAAAAAAAAAAAAGAACACGGTGTGGAAGCTATTTCCTCTTTTGTGCTCGTTAAAGAAGCTGCATAATTAGACGTATAAAGGAGGAACGTGATGTTTTAGCTGTTCGATAGGTTTCACGTTTGAAGATCTCGTCCGTGTTTTAACGTTGAGTTTTACGAGGGTTATGCTCCCAGAAGCTTCCCCCCAACGCCAAAATAACTTTTTACCCAATTCACCGAGGACACTTCAGATTTCCCATCACTGCTCTGTGTGGATCAGTAGAACTGCAGTTGTTCTGGGTCTGGGAAAATGAGTTCAGCGCCAAATTGGTTGCTCTGGGGGGAACACAGAGGAATGTCTGGTGGAATTTTAGAAATGAGTTTTTTTTTTCAGATGCATTAGAGAGGGAGAGGAGTGGGATTTGGCGGGGTGGGGGGTGTCCCAGACAAGTTTCGGGGTGCCTGCGGTGCAGACTGAATGGACGAGCAGATGGCTGGAGTGACTTAAGGGGACTCGTTTTGTGCATGTGCCTTTTAGCGTTTGGCCCCATGAGCATAAAAGAATGTGCGATTTACAGTCAAGTTCATCCACGAGGGGAGACGCGGTGGGACATCTCACCAAGTTTCACACTCGCACACTTTTTCGTGGACGTTCACAAGACAGTTTAATGTGTTAAGATGAAGGATTAATTCATCCCATCTGGCTGTCGAGTGGAAAGCTCCCTATTAACTCTTCCCAGGGATTTTTGGCTTCTGCTCTGGCAGGACTTTAGTGGCTGATTTGTGTGTGTATGTGTGTGTGTGTGTGTGATATCCCATCGTGCACATTTGAGTGCCTTTGCTTATGAATGTATGGGAAACTCAAGATTTAATATCCTGTGTGTCAGCTCTGGGTGTGGCGTCTGTGTGCTCTGGTTGAAATTAGGAAATAATTAGTGACTACTGTGGGCAATGGATGCATGTTTTTGTGTTGTGCTGAATGCGTATGCATTCAAAAATGAAATCTGTGACTGCTTTCAGCAGTGAAGTTATTATATGGATCATTGAGGCTAATTGGCAAAGTGATAACTCTACCAGTTTTACAAATATACTCTTTGCAAACCGAGTTTTGCTTCCTCCCTGCAGCAAGTCATTAGCACCCATTCTTTTATAGAAATAGAAGTCCATGAAAAGTACTTTGCCTTATTAAAGGCTAAAGGTGCACAAATAAAATATTCATCTTAAACTGACATAAAAAGTGAAGAGTTACAGGGGGGTATTATAAAAAATTGACTTTTTGAGCTCTATATTTAATAATATCATTCCCTCATCAAAAACATACCCAGAGTGTTGCTTTGACTCATTCATGAGTGTTTGAGAAATCCTTGAATCTCCTGTGGCCATGTGGAGCTGTCTACTGTAAACACTTGCTGGTACAAAGCTCTGCCTATTTACTCAAAGCTACTTCCTGGGGCTCAGTCTGCAGCTGAGCTCCAGCCCTCCCTTGAAGCATTGTTGTGAAGAGGTGCTTAAGTGGGAGTGTCAGAAATGGTAGGAAGTTCTTAAAGAGGCAGAGGCCAATTTCAAGATGTTTAGATAGACTATGGTGCAAAGTCAAATTTATTTTYRATATGTACAGCGTTTTCATAACAACTGAAAGTAACATAGTT